CGACCCATCACATTTATTCTGATTTTAGAATACATTGGGGCTTTCTGATAATTAAGGGATCTTGAACTAGAAAATCTCGTTGACTTCTATAGTTACGTATCCTGCAAATTAGCAATGTTTCAGAAATATCAAGTAGACGAAAAGCAAGTTGTCGTATCATGCTCCCGCTAAGATTTGGCAGTCTAAAAAATTAATTTGGGCTTGCCAAATTTACGAGAGTCTCCAAGAAAGAATGCCTCGAATCACTTAAATTTAGTGGTGTAAGTTAAACGATGCGCGTGGCCAAGTGGAGAGACTGCTTACAAAATCAGTATATTTCAATAGGGAATCTTATTACCGATTTCATGTATTTGACAAATACCATTATAAATAAACAGATAACCAGGTGAAACCTCCTTTGGTGAAGGCGCGACAACCAGTGCGATGCTCGAACAACACGAAAAAGCATGTATTCACGTCTCGATCAATCATACGTTTTAAGGAATACCTCTCCATCATTTTCTTCTGCCCAATGGTCTGGAGGCGAGAGCGAGACCTCTGCAGACGTTTGACCAATAAATCATTGCATACGCGCAGGAAACAAAGATTCTCGTTGCGCTGTCCTGCAGCATTGGGAGGATAGTGATGGCGGCAGGCTGTCGGAATAATCAATCGATCTTTCCTACAACTGTTCTACTTAGATTTACGTTGTGAATTATCAAAGCACCGGTGATATGGTCTTCACCCAAAAGTAAATTAAGCTTTGCGTTTTGATTCAAATTATGATCGTATATAGCAAATTATGATCGCTCAAATCGTTCGAGGTGAAGAGAAGTGTATAATGGGATCATGTAAGAATCGACAAACTACCGAATCTCATTCATATTATCATCTTCATCATTCATGGCACTGCAGACATCAGTTGTTGCTACTCCTTTTCGAATCAGAGCACGCAGCCGACTTCTCAATTAGCATCGTCACGTCAGCGTAGCTCAGACCGATACTCGTCACCAAGTCAGCTGATGGTCGACTCTTTGTCAACCAGCAGAAGTCGGGATGCACAAAGATTGAGTCCCTCACCCACTCACCTCCAGTGACGTATCCATCTCCACATATCTCTAAAACATACT